TAAAAACAATAGTTCGCTAGTTATAAACAGCCTATATGTATATTATACGAAGAACGAAAAACATTCAATAGTCGTGATATATGTGTCACTATGTAATAGTGCTAATGTAATTGCACAACGTCAGTTAATTCCATCATAAAGATAGTCTCTACAGAATTTACTTTTGCAGTTTTTCTGCAAAAGTGAATTCTGTTATTTTCGATAGTCTTTCTTTGCTGACATTATCAATTACAAAAAATTTTCGCTGCTGTTAAAATAAAAAGTTTTATATTACAATATTTCTCCTTTTCATATATCTGCATCTCGTTAAATGATAGAAAATGTTTCATAAAAGGTTCTCTTTTTTTGATACATTATTAGTACATAATGGATGAACCAGAGCATGATGAAAACGAGCAACAGCCGAGTTACATTGAGCTCATTCGTTGCATCAAACCTACAGAAAAACAGCGAAAAAATCCCCAATATATACCGCAATTGGAAATAAACGAAAAAGCACAAAAGATCATATTGGAACGATTTACGCCGCCAATATCAATTATCGTGTACGTTGGAAATGTAGGAGTGGGTAAAAGTAAACTAGCGAGTTTAACGGCGGCGGCGTTACAGGAAAAACCACCCGAACCTTCATCACTATGGTTTCGAAGTGGTGCGGGCGGCAAACCTGTCACTCACGGTGTCTGGATGTGGTGTGAACCATTGATTCATCCCGACAAAAGCCAGTCAGGTTCTATATTACTATTAGATTGCGAAGGAACGGGTGACTTTGACGAAAATACCGGCGCTAACTTGTATTTATTTTGTATGATTATGAGCACAGCATTTGCTGTCGTCCTTCGTCCGGCACGTGTTGAACGTCCTCTATGTGACCGGCTCTACAATACTCTACATCGCATCGAAAATATACGTATACCATACGTGTTACCCAATTTATGTTTAGTATCACTAGATATGCCATCATTTATCTACACTGATCCTACGATAGGTGACATTACAGTTTCAAAAGAGCAATGGTTAAAAGAAGTATTTAAATTAAGTTCTGATTCTTTATCAGTAAACGAGACTGAATTACTACAATCACGTTATGACTACATTACTCGAGTTCCACCAAAAATCGACGCTGTTAACCTTGATTATTTGCCTCGATCTTTGTTTAACAATGATCAGAAATTACATTTATATACAATATTACGACATGAATCATCTCAACAATATTTTGAATCATTACAAGCAGCCATTAAAGAATTGTTATCGAATGGTGGTAAGCGGTTACCAGGGTCACGTTGCTCACCGCTTTTCATTCGTCCAGCCGAATTAATAGGTTTAATGAGTGATCTTATCGGTGTTCTCAACGAAAATAAAATGTCTCATGCTGATGCATTAATCAATCGATATTTGTGTAATCGTTTTACAAGTGAAATTGTGGAGATACAGATAGCTCAATTCAAGGAAGAATTATATGCGTATGTTCTTAACACTGTTTGTACTGCTATGAAAAACCGACAAACACCAGAGACAGGCAGCGAAATTAATGAGACAGACGCAAAAATCAAGCAGGAACGTGATCGTTTAGTAACCAAATATCTCGGTACAATGATCCGTATAGCACGATATCAAATTTGTGGTCTTGATTCATCATTATCTGACAGTTATGTTGACGCTGATCAACAAAACAAAGCCTTTCTCGACCTACCAAGATTAATTCAACATGAATTCGACAACATACGAGCACAAATGAATGGATACCAAGAACCTGAATTGTTGGTTGTACAAATGCGCACAAATTTAACCATCGAAGATTTACGACGTCAAGAAGATGAACAGCGAAAATTGCTGATACAAATTAAAAAAGAATTAGAAAATAAGCGAGATCTTGTTCATCGCCAAAAACGAATCAATATCTCTCTAAACGACGCAAAACCGGTGAAGTATGGTCTGGCACCATGTGGTGAATGCGGGCGCCGAGGTGGTGCTTATAACATTGTTCATGAAAAGGCAGAATGTATTCATGGTCAACAAGGTAATTTTTATTATTATTATCATGGAAATGAACTAATGGTTTGTGACACATGTAAAGCTGTAATTAAAATTAAGGCTACACCTATCAATTGTGGTCGATGTCGAACAGAACGACGAGTGACACGCATCTACGAATATGAAGAGTTATATAAATGAACTTTGCATTATATACAAGGGGAAAAGACTATTCGGACATTCCCATCCATTCTGATCCATTCCAATCCATTCGAATCCATTCCGATTCATTCTGATCCATTTCAATCCATTTTCATCTATCCCCATCTATTCCCATCCATTCTCATCCATTTCCATATATTCCCATTCATTCCCATCCATTCCTGTTTATTTCCATCCATTCCCGTCTATTCCCATCCATTCGAGTGGTGTCACATATCCAAGATTTTGGAGATGCCACCGCATCTCCCGCAGGAGATGCCGTATCTCCAGCAGAAGACACGGCACCCACACTCGGAAGATGTGGTCATTCATCATTGGAGATGTAAGATCTCCTGTAGAGAGGCGCATCCCCCACACCCACACTCGCATATCTCGCGCGAGATGCGGCATCTCTTGCAGGAGATGTGGTGGCATCTCCAAAATCTTGGATATGTGACACTGCTGATCCATTCCCATCCATACTCATCCATTCCCATCCATGCTCATCCATTACCGTCTATTCCCATCAATTCCTATCCATTCTTATTGATTTTATTTATTTTATAAAACTGAATAGAACACTTGTTTGCTCCAAAGCCAATAAAAGTGTTTTCGAATAGATAGAACTTCCTGGTTAAAATTGCCAAAATGACTTCACATATATGCGATTAAAAAATTATGTGCTGCGTTTACCTATTTCCATATTTCCTTGGTACTCATGAATTATGAAAACTGCATCGCAGATGGTCGAAGAAATAGGTACTGTATCTAAAACTACAAAAATGTTTTCGAATATATAGTATGATTATGTATCTACTTTACAACACTACTGATGAAGGGTGTGGGTGTGAGTGGGTGTGGGGTGTGGATGTGGGTGTGGATGTGGGTGTGTGGGTGTGGATGTAAATGTGGGTGTGGATGTGAATGTAGGTGTGAGCACGTGTCAAGGGGCCACATCCACACTCACCCGCACCCCACACCCACACCCACACCCACACCCACACCCACACCCACACCCACACCCACATCCACACCCACCCACACCCTAAGGGTAAAGGGGATAAGAGGCTAAGGCCACAGGGGCATAACCGATAAACCTAAAAGCGTATAAGGAGATAAAGGTATAGAGGATAAATAGATGAGGCTGCATGGAATCTAAGGAATAAGAGAATAACGGAATAAGGCTATAAGAAGTAATACAAGAAGATTATGAGTCTACGAGGGTATAAGGCTATAGGATCTCTTTATGTATAATGTGAACTGTCTGATTGTCTATTAGTGAATCAAAGCTAAAGCACAGATGCGAAGCTTTACAGGAAAAAAAGCATCCGTGCAGTATGCACGGGCTGTCGCTAGTTCAATCATTATATTGAAACAAACCTCAATGTTCTTTCTCTTTTTCATTCCATCGAAAAGACAAGAAAAAAAAGAAAATCTCTCTCTGGTTGAAGTAACAGACACATACAAATACGACATGAATATACCGAGAAATATTTAAAAACGTTTTATTTTAGAATAGAAGTGTACCCATACCACCTCATTCATTCTGTTCTTTGACAAATATTTCAAAGTATTGATAAATAACAGTCGTAACCAATAAAATACTGAAACCTGAACCAATCACACCCAGTAAATCGGCTAATATTGATAGTGCACCAACACATAAACCACCAAAAGAAGCTGCTGTTGGAATATATCGACCAAGTGCATGAATCATTGATATCTCACGATGGCTGTGCATAACCATTTGCTGTTCTTTTAATTGTTTAGCAACATCTCTGGGACTTGAGCCTGATATGTCAGCCCATATTTTCGAGAAAAATGCACATGAACCAAGCATAAATGTAATATAAAGCGTACCATGTATCGGATCTAGTAACATAGCTCGAAATGATTCTGGCGGTGACAAAGAGTAACATAAACCGCCGATAGGATTCGAACGTTGATGGTCATTGTCAGTCCAAACTCCTAATAAATCAACAATAAAATTTCCTGAAAATTTTCTTGATAATATTTGTGTCACGAAAAATAAATTTAAAACAAGTGTCGATTGAAGCTCAAGTGGCATGTATGATGTATAAAATAATTTTATCGGAAATGTTGATGATTGACCACGATAGCGAGCTGATTTTATTGGTAAATCAACACGAAAATTCTAACCAAATGAAAACATTATCAATGAAGAGAAAAAGAAAGAATTTCATTTTTGTTTCGTACTTGAAAGTAAATAGCAACAGCAAAAACGAGCACAGTTGAGAGTAAATTCATTAAATTAGGTAAATTTTGACGAAAAAATACTTCGTATAATGCATCGCGTATACTATTTCCTGCTATTGATAAATCAAAGAAAGCAATAATAGCACCTTCAACTTCAGCACCATTTTTAGTATTAATTGTGACTGGACTAAATGCTTTCCAAACAATTGTTTCACAAGTATTTGCTGCAATAAATAATGGTATACCAGAACCAAGGCCATAGCCTTTTTCGAGTAACTCATGAAATAATATAAGAATAAGATTAGCAACAAATAATTGAATTATAATTAAAAGACAAGTAACATTACCGATTTCCAATGGATTACCATACCTATGGTTTTTTTTACAACGATGATATATCTATCTTTCTAAGTTCTGTTAAACTTACGCGCCGCTTATAACGTACAGAATAGCTTGTCCAATAGCAATAAACATTGCAAAAAGGTTTTGTGCATTATTAAATAGAGCACGATCTTTGGGTGTATCACCAACTTCAATTATTCTTGCAGCAGCTAATGATTGCATAATGCGGCCTGATGTAACTATGGGTAAAAAAGCTGTTAGCGCAATCCCTTGCGGGATTAAAAATGTGAAACACGATGGACCTATTGTTACTAATAAAATGGAAATCCTTTTGTTGCATTTCCTTACGACACATATGTAGCTGACCGTATATCTGATGCTTTATAACTACAATTTCTGTGTCACGGTCTGTGATGGGTACTCGGGTTCTCTGTCACGGTCTGTGATGGGTACCCGGGTTCTCTGTCATGGTCTGCGATGGGTACCTAGAGTTCTCTGTCACGGTCTGTGATAGGTACCCAGGGTTCTCTGTCACGGTCTGTGATGGGTACCCGGATTCTCTCTCACGGTCTGTGATGGGTACCCGGGTTCTCTGTCACGGTCTGCGATGGGTACCTAGAGTTCTCTGTCACGGTCTGTGATGGGTATCCAGGATTCTCTGTCACGGTCTGTGATGGATACCCGGATTCTCTGTCACGGTCTGTGACGGGTACCCAGGGTTCTGTGTCACGGTCTGTGATGTGTATCCGGGTTCTCTGTCACGGTCTGTGATGGGTACCCAGGGTTCTCTGTCACGGTTTGTGATGGGTACCCGGATTCTCTGTCACGGTCTGTGATGGGTACCCGGGTTCTCTGCCACGGTCTGTGATGGGTACCCACGGTTCTCTGTCACGGTCTGTGATAGGTACCCAGGGTTCTCTGTCACGGTCTGTGATGGGTACCCGGATTCTCTGTCACGGTCTGTGATGGGTACCCAGGGTTCTCTGCCACGGTCTGTGATGGGTATCCAGGGTTCTCTGTCACGGTCTGTGATGGGTACCCGGATTCTCTATCACGGTCTGTGATGGGTACCCAGGGTTCTCTGTCACGGTCTGTGATGGGTACCCGGATTCTCTGTCACGGTCTGTGATGGGTACCCGGATTCTCTGTCACGATCTGTAATGGGTACCCACGGTTCTCTGTCACGGTCTGTGATGAGTCCGGAGGTTCTCTGTCACGGTCTGTGATGGGTATGGATTTTCTCTGTCACGGTCTGTGATGGGTATGGATTTTCTCTGTCACGGTCTGTGGGGGGGGAGGGGGGGGTGGGTCCAAAATTTCTACCCTATACACTTCAACACTCCTTTCAGATCGTGTTTCACAATACCTAATTCCATTAATGTAGCAGGATTTGAGGCATAAAAAACTCGCGTCCTACAAGCGAAAACCGGTGAAAAATTCTAAATTTTTCTATTTAAAATTTTTACCGAGCGAATGGATCAGTTGCAGTGGATGATAAAATACCAAAAAGTGGCATTTTACCATAACTGGAAAGTATAACTAAGACTACAGCTGTGCATAGAATTTTATCACGAAATTGAATTTTACGATCAGGTCTCTGAATTACGAGTATAAGTTGATCAAATGATTCGACGAATTCAAGAAATCTTATACCCATTTTTAATAAAACCTCGACTAAAATCTAACGATTATCGAAAATAAAAATCAATTGTTGATTGCTCGTTCTAATTCGACGCATAAGAGCAACGCAACGTTGCCATCGAGTAGAAGACATCAATGACTAGAGTCTGTGTCACGATGCATTACTGCATTGTAAACAGATTGTCAGAGGAAAGAGGTCGCATAGTGATATAGAACAATCTTAGGGAGTAAATCAATCGAAAAACAGACCGATCTATCTCTTGAAGAAAACACAAGTGCAATCTCGAGATTTCCACGTTCGTTCTTTAGTAGAGAGCGACAAGCTCAGCCCAAGTTCAGAAATAATGAGCCGTTGAAAACGCTCACTGAGACGAACTGAACTATTCACACAGTTCATTTGAGTGAACTGGCTTTTCTCAAACATCTCATTTCATATGAGCTGAACTGTTGGAAGATCTCATTTCAACGAACCGAACTTTTTCTACAGCTCATTTCAATTGAGCTGAACTGATCAAACAGCTTATTCAAACGAACCGAACTATTATTGGGTTGGCAAGAAATTTTTGTCGCTTTTTTTGAAAATTTTCTTTTTATTTTTTCATATCACGAATACAACTAGCTTTCAACAATATATCCTCCATTGCTATCTATAACTTGTCGCCAACGCTCTGGTAGAAAAAGAATTCCGCGTTCGTAGAAATCCTTTGACTTTAAATCACAGAAGTTGGCGATGTCTATCTTGAGATCGCTTTCGTCGTCGAACTTTTTCTCGTTCAAATGATTAGAAAGAGAACGGAACAAATGGTAATCCGTAGGAGCCAAGTCTGGAGAATAAGGTGGATGGGGAACGGTGACCCATCCAAGCTCCAATAACTTTTGGCGTGTCGACTTTGCTACATCGCGTCTGGCATTAATCGTGCAAAAAGTAAATTCGATCTAGTTTTCCTTTGTGTTTTTCTGTAACCTGATTCAATTGCTGGCAGAAGAGATCGGCAGTGATGGTGCAATTAGCTGGAAGAAGTTTCCAATGGGTGTGGGTGTGGGTGTGGGTGTGGGCGTGGTTGAGGGTGTGGGTGTGGGCGTGGGTGTCGGTGTGGGTGTGAGTGTGGGTGTGAGTGGGTTAAAAGCACACCCACACCCACACCCCACATTCACATCCACACCCCACACCAGCACCCTCACCCCCACACACGCACCCACATCCACACGCCACACTTATACCGTGTAGTAAATCAATGCTTTCATGGGCAATATTGTTCAGTTCCCAAACATGGAGCATAAATGGTACTGGTTTTTGTTAGTTTGAGGATTTGATCGTTAGTATAAAATTCGAATAGCAACACTGGGTAGAAGCAAACTCTGATGTCTTGTAAATCAAGAGAAATCCGTGCAGAGTTTGCAGTTAGCTATCGATTCACCGTGCAAAGTTTTTATTGACAATCTCTAGAAAGCTATGCAGTTCTGTGCTCTTGAAAACAAACACACTCCAGTGTCCTTTATTAGCTTTGAGTTGGAGAAAAAGAAGTGAAGACTGAGTTTGAAAGTGAGCATTGTAATACAGAACAGAGTGAAATAAGTAACATTATTGCTGGGTATTGCAATGTTGTAATAAAAAACATTTCATCAGAGAGTCGCCCGCATCATTATATGTGAGTGCTTTAGTAGCAATTTTTGCTTTTCATGCGGCATGCTTTGCTTGCGCCAGTTTTTTATTCATTAGACGCAGGTAGGATTGAAGGAGTGTACTGTTCGCCGTTTTTTGGGGAGATTTTCGGCGCTTTTATGATTTCATTAGCGCAGTTTGGGCACATCGTATGATGGCGTGTGGTATTCTCATTTTCATATGCGTATAGAAAGTCTTCATCATAACGATTGAGTCACTGTATATTGTCCTTCATAAACCTCCGCCTTCATCGAAATAAATATTTTATCAGCATCAAGTTACCAATAAAAGTAGACATGTGTCACTAACGCTTTCATCAAGGCAAGTTTGCCCATTGATTCTGAAACACTCATTCCATATTTTGCTTTCGCTGTTTGATGTCAGTCTTTTTTCTACGTAGTGATCTGTATTCAGTTACATATAACTTTTGTTTTGACATATACCAATGCGCATTTCGAGCGTATCTAAACCAATGTCCTAAAATAGGAAAAACCATGCTAGTCCAGCCTTGTACGAAGTTTAAATTTATAAGTGAAATCATCAAAAGCTGATAAAAAGGAACGACGAAATTAGAAAATTCGGAAAGAACTGCAGCTGAAAATAGAACTATTATGAGTCTTTAAGAAAATCTGCTCATTTTAAAGAAAGATTGTGTAGAACTCACTGTAAAATAGAGAGTGTAACCGTGCACTCGAAAGCTCTCTTTTCTTCTTGGTTACATATAACCCACACTAGACAGCAAAGGTGCTAACGCGCTCTCCATGTATTAGATCGTCAACTTTTC